CTTCTTGTTCTGGCCATCATGCTGTATCGTCGTCCTTGCTAGTTACAAAAGTTCCTCATAAACGCTTGTTCTTAAAACTTTCTTATCTCAACCTTGACCCCTTAGTTTTCGATTGGATTTGCGACTTTTTAACTAACCGCCAGCAGTTCGTTTACGCAAATAATCTTTCTTCGTCTTTACGCCCCGTCATTTCAGGCGTGCCTCAAGGCACGGTTCTAGGACCTTTGCTTTTTCTCATATATATTAACGACTTGCCGAATAATATTTCTTCTAACATCAGACTTTTCGCCGATGATTTTGTCATTTATCGCCCAATTAACAACACATCAGATGTTCATGAACTTCAATCTGACCTTCATAAAATTGAAATCTGGTGTACAACGTGGTTAATGTCCCTTAACGCAAACAAAACGTCACTAGTCTTTCCATCGCCGACAGTGCTACCCATCTCCAGCATACTTCATTAACAACACTCAAATTTCATGCGTAACTACATACAAGTATCTAGGTGTCCATTTTTCTTCTGATTTAACATGGTCCCTTCACATAACGCACATTACTAACGAAGCAAACCGTGCTCGCAGCAAATCGCTCGCAGCTGTCGGCAGCACAGGTCGCCACAGTGATGCGCTTTTGTCGAGCATTTACGGTGACGATGTTACCTTGGCACAAATATGGGCGAACCAAATTGCTTCCAAGCGTAGTATGAGGCAAGGCAGAATCATGGACTTTTTAAAGCCTGCTTGATGCCATCAAGTTCATATTTCTGACAAAAACAAATTTTTCGGACTGTTCAATTTTTTAAACTTTTTTTCAGTCCCCACCAGGTCAAAAAAAATCTGTCGACGACTGTAGCTGTAGATCACAGAACCTCGCTGTTTTGAACGGCGTCTGTCATTTTTCGTGTAGTGTTGGATGACCACGAGAATGTTATAATATAAAAAGAAAACACAAATATTACCATCAAAACAACTGCCAACATATAATATATAAATTACATGCCTAAAGCGCCCAGAAAATGCCAACTTCAGAGAAAGTGTAGGGACCTTTCGGAGGCTTCCCAAGTGCCCGCATCAGAGAACAGAGATGAGTCGTCCAGCCTTTTTAACGAGGTCAGCAATTTCAACTATGATATCCTCAACCCCTATTATCCTTAACTCTGCTATCTACTTGTCTCTTAAGGTTACACTTATCATTCTCCTTTCCATCGCTCAATGCGTTGTTCTCTATTTAAGCTGAACCCACTTTGTAAGCCTCGAGGTTCCTGCTCCGTAACAAAGTACTGGCAAGATGCAGCTGTTATATACCTTCCTCTTGAGGGATAGTGGCAATCTACCTGTCATAATTTGAGAGTGCTTGCCAAATGTGCTCCACCCCATTTATCTTCTAGTTTCTTCAATCTCGTGATTTGGCTTCGCGGCTCCTAAGTAGACAGTCTTTTACCACTTGAAGTGCTCTATTACCTATCTCGAAGCGCTGCTCCCTTCCGAGGTATTTGTGCATTACTTTCGTTTTCTGCAGATCAATTTTAAGACCCACCTTTCTGCTCTGTTGTCTCATTCATTCATTTATTGATACTGTCAGCCCTTTGCGGGCTATTACAGGAGTGGAGTTGACTCATAAAACAGAAGTGTGCATAAGAGAAACATAAGAAAAAGCACCTTCACTACTAGAACTCATCATTTCAGAGCACATACAAATATATCATAATGGCTAAGCATATCGTTCAAACATAGAAGTTAGTGAAAAATAAGAAAAGAAATCATCACTGCCGAAATACACATCATATTTTGCACATAATAAAACACATAATAAATATCATAGCCTAGTTACAAAGCACGTAATTCACACATATTCACAATCTTAGTGCATGGTATCAGAGTGCACTATATGTTTTATTGCTTCTAAAAAGTCAGTGAGCGATATGATTTTCACAACCGAATCTGGTAACGAATTCCACTGCTGAATCACCCTGGGGAAGAAGCTGTACCTGAAACAGTCATTATGAACTTTGGGGGGCGGTATGTACATACTGTGTCTGTGTCTTGACGTTTCTTGTGTTTTAATTTCAAAGTACCTGTCGTAGCTTATTTTAATGCGATTATGAACTATTATGAAAAGGAATTTCAGCCTTTCATATTCGGTGCGTTTTTGTAGAAGTAAGAGCTCTGCAAGTTTGCATGATTTGGTAGGTGAATGGAAACGACAGTATTTATTAAACATAAACCTAGAACTAAGTCGCTGTATTTTGTCGAGTTTCAAACAGTTAGTTTGGGTATAGGGATCCCGCACTACTTTAGCATATACGATTATGGGTCTTAGCAGAGTTTTATAAACTAAAGTTTTAACTTCGAGAGAGGCACAGTGGAGGTTACGTCTCAGGCCCCATAACACCTTGTTAGCTTTGGAACACAGTTCCTCAACATGAAGATTCCAACGCAAGTCGGGTGTAAATATGAGACCCAGGTATGTATATTGCTTACGCCTGAGCAAGTTTGTGCCGTTAATACTGTACGAATAACTAAGAATGTTCTTTTTTCGAGAAACGGACATAAAAACAGTTTTTGCTGGGTTAAGCTGCATTTGCCACTCATCGCACCAGTTTTTAATTCTGTCTAGGTTAAGATTAAGTTCAGCCTGGTCGCTCGGTGACTGGGCATTTTTTCTTATTTGGGTAGTAATAATATGATAACTCCATAATCATGAGTTGCAATTCGTCCCCCGAGATACTCACCAATGCAATGTCATTGGCGAAGCGCAGGTTACTAAGGTACTCTCTGTTAACTCTTATTCCGAACTCTTCCCATTCTAGGCCCCTGAAAACCTCCTGTAAGCACCCGGTAAATAGCATTGGGGAGATTGTATCCCCCTGCTTTACACCCTCCTTGATTGGTATTTTGTTGCTGTGAGGATTTGAGAAAAACGACGACAACGACGAAAGTGCGGGGCAAGGCGCGTGTGATTTCGAGCCAACTGTGCGCGTGAGGTCAGCCCATCAGCTGATGATGACCTGTGGTGGTCCATAAAGGTGGCTTGCCACAATTGGGCCACGTGTGACCATTACGTGGCGGTAAGCTTTTTTGCTGGGGACGAGCCGAAGCAGCGGCAGACGGAAGACAGCGGGCCGAATCGTCGGACACAGGCGATCCAGGTTCCGGCCAGGGAACGCGGCCGTCCACACTACTGCCGTCCAACTACCAGCTGGGGTGGCGTTGCCGGCACGAGTACTGCATCTCGGGGCATGGCCTGGCCTGCTGTTCTCTTCCTTGTTGAGGCATCGCGGATCTCGGCGAGGCATCCCCACGGTCAGCCGTTCAGCACAGCGACGTACGTGGCCTGGCTAATGGTTGCGATTGCGCCGAGCATCCCGTCTTGACGCAAGCACTTCGCTGGGCGAGCTGGCCATTCCCCGCATGGAGCATCGCGTCTCCGATGCGAGTTGACTGCTTTGTAGTCGCACCCACACCGTCAAACGCCGTCGTCACCATAGCGTCGCACATCAAGACGCATCCCGCTCCCGATCGCCTGTCGCCGCCTCCTGCCCTGCACCTCGGCCTTCGTCAGGCCCCGTATCTCATTGTGAGGTTTTGAAACTCTCCACCTTGAACTTGCATTCATTGGTTTTCTCGTTTGATGAGACAGTTTTGTTACTTATTTGCCTTCACGGTTTTTCTGGTTCTGTGTTCTATTTTTTTTCCCTTTCGTGCTCTGTCATAAATGTGGTGTGTGTTGTTACCGCATCATTTAAAAGTCCGTTTCTCCTCGCACCACACGCAGAACAAGCTTTGACGAACCTTAGCCCAGATAAAGAATATATTTACTACAGTTGCTTTTCTTATGGAGCACTATGATGGCAGTTGACCCCCTGTAGATTTTCTTCCAGGATGCTCATATAGGCTGTATTGACACCCTGATTCTGCAGAGCCTGCACGATTCCTGACATTTCTATTGAATCAAACGCCTTCTCGTAATCTATGAAGGCTATCTATAGTGGTTGGCTGTATTTCGAGCATTTTTTTATTACATGATTGATAGCATGAATGTGGTTGATTGTTGAGTAGCCTGTTTGAAATCCTGCTTGTTCCTTTGGTTGATTGAATTCTAATGCTGTCTTAATTCTGTTAGAAATTACCTTTGTAAATGTACGGCGGATATCAAGCTGATCGGGCTGTAAGTCCTTGTCATCTCCTTTTTTAATGATGTTTACGTATACGTAAACCCGATCGGACTGTGTGTACTGCGCCGAGCTGAACATGGCGGTATGCACACAATGGACGACAGATGGCAGCAATTTCGCATAAGGTCTATTGCATCGGATGTGAGGTGGTGCGATTGTTTCTCAGGAACCGAGGAGCGGCAGGTTCCTTCACTGAGTTGCTTGCAAACTTTTCCCGAAGTTTTTGAAATATGTGCCATTTTCCCAGTAATTAGGGCAACTTTGCTTATCTCAAAAATCCATTTATCTCAAAATTTTCTATGGTTTTAAGATTTCGTGTTAAGGAGGCATTACTGTATTTATGTTGCAGTTCCAGGAAGTGTATGCGGAAGTGTATGTTTGCGTATTAATAGACCTCTAGAAGTTTTCACGTGTTAACTGAAAATCACTTGAGAGTTTTTATTTAGGTATACTCATATGCTTAACAGAGATCCTAATGTTGAAGAAATCACAACATCTTGAACTGCTAAAAAAGCGTACTAATTCAAAATGAAGAAGGGAGAACATTAATTTTCACAACAGAGTAGGCCTACTGGAGCCTTTTTTTTTTTTAATGTGCAAACTAATGCGGCTTGATTCATGTGAACATTTGACGAAGAGATTAACTGTTAGTGCACATATGATGTACAAATAAATTTTGCAGAAAAAATTTAATCCACGCATCAAAAAAGTGAATATTGAGGTTGAATGCAGCAATATTTTAGAAACAAAAAACGCTTTCGTAGGTGGCAGGAAATGCCTTGTGCTTATGAACATAAATGAAAGCAAAAAAACTGCAGCTAACCTTGATATTGGGAGTCTGCGTTGGATCAGTGATGTACCTCACCACCGCCTGAAATTGATCACCATGTGGAAAACAGTCCCTGCAACCATAAATAATGAAATAAAGGTTTATACGAAACCTCTGGATCCGTCAAGCATTAATCAAAATGGTAAAGTACAAAAGTAAGGCTGCAGCAAGACTGTCAAGCTTTTTACAACCAGTTTTTCATTTCTTTGCAACAATCAGGATGCCTCATGCACTAAGCAGCTGTACGAGGTGCTGCCTTTATGGCTACAGTAAAAAAGAAGCACCATGACAGCAGTATTACAATGTTTGACATTACAGTCAACATAAGAAGCTCAGAAAATACAAAATAGAAAATTCTTGAAGGGCAAGTTCTGCCAGCACTTCACTCCCGAAAATTTATTTTCATAAAATTTTAATTAACAGCAATAAACATTATTGAGTGGAAACACAAAGGGATGTCAAAAGAATATGAGAGCTGGTTTCAGGTGAACCGATATATCCATGCTATAGCTACTCCATACATTGAAATGCAATCAAATAGAAAGCGTAGTTACCGAATTATAGACAGGATCTTCTGAATCTTCATTTGTAGCGAGCTTAAAAGGTCCGTTCCCGTCTTGATGAAGAGACGGGTAAGGAGAACGTACAACCAGCTGTGCAAGTCTGCACTGTGGACGTGAATCAGCTCCCCCAAGGCCTCCAAGAAGAGTGTGAACACCTGGATGAAAAAGAAACATCTCCTGGAACCTTTGCCACACACAACACAGCCAGCTTAAGGGGACAACACTAATGTGCCAAGGCCCGTCAACCCTTCTCCATGTTCATACTATACTTTCGTGTGCCCGAGGCTTGTGATTGCCAGTAGTGCAAATGGAGATCTTAAGCCACTTGTCCTTCACGAAAACTTACTATGGGCTGAAGATAAGAAAACATCTGACCCTTAAATAAAACCATGCAGACTTTCATAAGCAACTTGGCGTATATTGGCTTTGTCAAGGTAACTGTCAGCAATGGAGGTGTATCCAAAAGTGATAGCAAAGCCTGTAAAACAGCCTCTTAGAAAATAAACAACCAGAAGAATCAATTTTCCATTATTTAAACAACAGTTGTGCTTGTCTCTCCCTTTTTATATTTTACCAATCATCAAAATATGGTCGTGCAGCAGTTTTATTGTTATGATGAGGTAGCAACTTATGAGAATATTCATAATGAACTCATGAAATCGAGTACTCATTAGATTAGTGTAAATACCATACTTGAAAGCATAGCACTGATGTAGCTTAGCCAAATAATTGCTTTTCTTACTCCTTTCCTCCCACTGTAAGCATACTTCATTTAGTGTTTTTATGCGACATATTTAGATGCACTTGGCGAGTTAGTATTTGGTTTTTGAGGGCACTCCTGATAAGACGAACTCCTGGCAAGACGAACAAATGATGTTGGTCCTTTCAAGTTCCACTTAGAGAGAGTCTACTGTACAGTAGAGACAACTTATAACATAAGTAACGGGAGTCGCGAATATCTGCACTGTAGGCGGTACCACACTACAACCAAAACAAACTTTTTCAAGGGTCACTCTTGTGCCAATTGTGTTGAGCGTGCCGCCTCGCTTGTTCAAGAATCAAAGCATGTGATGCGTGGTGCTTATAACCATTTATATTTCCAAATGTCAAAAAATTTAACTTCCAGAGACACGTGTCGCCAAAATAACGTGGAAAGGGGAGGGAATCTAACGCACCATCGCGGAAATTCGTCGACTACTTCTCAGACCGCTTAGACTATGCGCATTGCACAGAAACTATGTCGAATCATGTCCAAAATTTCACCCGCTGAAAGGCGCCGGTAGTTGCACTTCACAGGCGTGCACCCGATTTCAAGACAACGTAATTGAATCGCAAATCATCATTAGTGTAGTAAGACGGTAAGTTGGGCCAGTTGGCTAGGATCCAGGGCGGTCTCAAGGTGTGGCAAGGAAGATGAACGTTCAAGGTGTGGCAAGGAAGACGAACGTTCAAGGTGTGTTTCGGACTGTGTTGATACCATTGCCAGAACGGGAAAGGCGCGGGGAGGCACGGACTCACTAAGGCCGCTAGTTGATTTTGATTTTCTTTGTGAAAACAAACTGCATGTACTAGTAGCCGACAAAGAAGGGCACTTTGCCATTATGAATTCTGAAGCATACTCAATGAAGTGCGAGGCCGCAGTTAAGAAAAATTTCAGGCGTGTCAGTGTTAAGGCCACAAAAGTAAAACACCGAGCGCTTTCCTTGTTAGAAGGAATGAATCTGCAACGTTTGGCAGCCAGCGTAAAGAGGGCGAAAAACCTGGAGTTAGAAGTTTACTTTACGGTGAAAACGCACAAGGAAGACATGCCTCTCGGAAAAAGGTAGCTGGCAGTTAGATCTTTCGCGTTTTCTGCAAAAGAACCTAGCACGCCTGAGTATTGTTGACCCTTTCCGTATACCGAATTCGGATGCTGTGTGCGAGTACCTCAAAAATAACTCGAGCCTACATAGTGCCTTCAGTGTCGACATAGAAAATTTATATTATTCCCTTCCACATTGCCAGGTTATGAAATGCGTAAAAGCCTGCGTTGTGTTTGACAACGATGAAGAATCTTTCATCGATGGTTCCGGTGTATCTTTAGAATCATTTCTTGAACTTTTGTCATTTTACCTTGAAAGTACCTTTGTGTCGTGGCGGGGGGATCTTTATGTACAAAAGTCTGGTGTCTGCATAGGGTCGAGCGTGGCCCCTATTATTAGTGACATTATTTTAGACTACATTGACAGGCAGCTGGAAGGTCACCTTAGTAAGTGCTGCAGTGCTGTTTTTCGTTACGTAGACAATTTTGGAATTTTTTCCCACAATGACATTCACCATAAGGACATTGATCACATTCTCAATTTGTTCAGTCAGCATAGTATAGGCCTTACCTTCCCTCACGAAGTCTGTAAGGATTACGAGCTATAGTTTCTGGACCTAAAGCTAACCTTTGGTAAAAAATCATTTGTGTTGGAAATATGACCCAAGATCAGTGAAGCCTATCTTGAACTACAAGTCTAGCCTTTCTAAGATTGTGAAGAGAGCGATTGCAAAGACAATCTTAAATGCATCACTCAGGAAATCCTGTGTGCATGTGTCGAATACTGCTTTTCATAACCAGGTAAAACGCTTAGTAGATGCTGGGTATCCTGACAAGGTAATTTCGTCTGTGTGTGAGTCGATGGTTCGGAGCGTTAAGCTTGTGAAACACAGAGGAGCTCAAGAAAATTCTGATGGAAAAAAAAAAAAAGAGCAGTTTTTCCTTATGTACACAAATTGGCGCATGGGCTGAAAAACGTAGGCTCAAGGTATGGTGTCGACGTTCTTTTTTCCGCCAAACATAAGGTAGGTCGCATTTGCCCGATGGTTGATAATGTGCTGAGGAAAAAACAAGCCAAAGAGAGATGCGCTGTGAATCATAAGAACAAGTACATAAGAACAAGTACGTAAAAAAAGCTGTGTATTTAACTCCATTATCGTGTGATAGGGAGTACGTGGGACAAACAAAACGATGTGTGAATGTTCGTTTAAGAGAGCATGAGTTATCTCTTCAAGGGATCGCGCGACTTCATCTGCCAGAATATTGCAGGTCATGCGGTCGTCGTCCCATTTTTGAGAGAACCACCATCATCTTCAAGCATCCTAATCAGCTAACAAGAGAAATCGCTGAGGCATTTCATATAAAGATTAGGGGTAGCAAGTGCATTAGTGAGCCATCAGTCACACTGCATGAAAAAGAATTAAGTTATTTAGGCCAATCTTGTTTATTGCCATGAGTGTGACAACGCTACCTGGGTGAACCTTGTATTCTGCGCATGTTGTGATGTAGGCTGCCAGTACCTATAAACATACTTTTCACCACGTTTTTTTTTTTTTTTCAATCAACAACAGTTGTGAGTCAGCGCCGTCTTTTCTTTCTCTTTTGCTCCTTCCCTGTCCTGTATTTTTTCTGGTGTTGTGCTGTAAGTAAGTTCACCATTAGAGCTCTACATGTACCACCATCGTTTTCATAAGCGGTACGAACCCTTTCAATCAAGTGCAGCCACCGCAAAGAGTTTGGTTGATTCTGTACTAAACCGCAACTCTGAATACGACCGCAACCGAAATGCAACTGATGCCGATTAGGCCTAGCCTACTGTTCGGTATGTTGTCATGGGAACTGTCTAAGACACGAAGATCCAGCGTCGAAAAGATCCCATCAAGCACTGAACAAAAAATAGCGTGCGTGATACAAAGTTCTCGTTTGCAGCCAGAAGATCAACAGCGACGCGAACGGCCCCAAGTATACGTATAACATTGAACTGGCACGCAAAGGCTAAAGCACAAGGTAGCAAACACGTAGTTGATAAGGATGGGACCACATGTGCCATGTTGAGTCCTGTGAGGTTGTTGAACCACTAGCAACGCTAGTACACTGTCCAGCAGGAGAACGATCACTAGCCAGAGGCGCTGCCAGAGATGAGCACGAGTGGGCCCCACCTCTCCAACGAAACTCTTATTGTGAGTGCCCCCCCCCCCCTTGCCATAAAGTAATCCCCTGCCATTAGCATGGATTCGGTCTTAGCGAGCCAAAGGGCCATGTTTACTGTCGCCTAGCATGACTAATGCCGCTGCACACGCGTGTTCAGACAGCCAAGGCACAGGGTGCAGTGTGGCAAGTACACAGTAGTGCTCTCAAACAATTTGCAACACTTTATTGCCTGCGACAACACCAAAAAACGCAATACAGCATCTGCTGCAAAAAGCAATGGGAAAGCAAAAGAGGCTTATCCATGCCATAGGCGAAAGTACAACACAGGTGAAAAGGCTCACAGTGACACGTGGCTGAGGGAAACGGTCTCTTGCGACTATGCTGCGTGCTCTCACGATCAGTTGCCCTTGCCCGATCACTCGAGCAAGGGCAACTCTGCTCGCGTTGGCTTTGAGAGGTGCAGTTCAGCATAGTAAAACCACCATGCATGAACACATCACACCGCTCTTTGGCCTAGCATTCTGAAGGGGCAACAAAAAATAAGCCTTCGCTGGGACGCAAGGCACCGGTGGAGAGTCCGAGTGAGTTCCAAGAACAAAGAAGCTGACGGACGCGAAAGAAAAGGCTTGCTCATCCTTCGCTATCCAGAGAGGTTCTCTCGCGCTGCGCACGCGCGGAAGTTCTCGCTAGATTTGAACACAGCACCACAGTCAACATACGCTGCCGTGTGAGAAGGTCAATGTCACTCCCGCTTTCCCAGCACCCACGGACCGCAGAGAAGGGCAGAGTCATGTTAGGACACATGGACGGCATAAATAGACGTAAAAACTCGCTCAGTGGTGGTGGCCTAGTCTCAATCCCCACAACTGCCGCTGCGACGGCGCTGGTACAGTGTTCTAGAAGTATTGGCTAATTGGCAGAGCGGTGGCCTATGTGCAGTGCGGTCTCTCCTCATTCTTTGACTTCACATTTGCCGCCTGTGCATTGAGAGTTTCCACTCCAGCATTGTATTTTAATTCTTGTGTTTATACACAAACGCGTTGTAGGAAGTGTAGTGCACGTGCGCAAAACAATTGTGCGAGCGGTGGAGCATACCTTTCGCAGAACTTGAAAGCTGACTAACTGGAGCACTTGCCGTCGTTTTTAAGGGGGGACGTGCCTTTGAGAATGAACTGTCTTGTTTCTGGTCGGATGATGATGAAA